ATTAATTAAAGGAAACAGTACTTGTATTAGTGTATGCTTATTTCTTGTCATCTAAATTGACTCAGTAGATCTTTCTGTAATGACTGTTAAAATAAGGTATGAAAAAAAAATAAGGTGTGGAGTAGTATGGTCCAACTAGGAACAAAATGGGCAACTGTGGAAATATGAAGAAAGAACATATATGCAGGGAAACATGAGATAATTGGCAGGATTTTTTAATTGAAATCTAGACTTAAAAGGAAAATTAGATATTATCTGGTGTATACCCTTCTTTCATACAATAATGAAATGGAAACCAAGATAGAGTGGCCTCCCAAAGGGTACTGTAGAAATACCTGAGGACAAAAAAAAAAAAAAAAAAAAGAAGTATCTGAGGACAGTTGGTAGGAAAGGACTTCCTTCAATGATTCCATTAAAACAGAACCCAACATATCTTAATCAATTTGAAAAAAATAAGATTTTTAACTTTAACAAATGAGAGTAAATATTACTAAATAACATATTAGTTGAATGTATATGCTTGGGTTTATTTCTGGGCTCTTGATTCTTATTCATTGGTTTGTCTGTTTCTATGCCAGTATCATACAGTTTTAATTACTATAGCTTTATAATGTAACTTGAAATCAGGAAGTGTGATGTCTCCTGATTTTGTTTTGCTTTCTTGATTGCCTTGGCTATTCAAGGTCTTTTGTGGTTGTCCTTTCACATAAGTTGTAGGATAGTTTCTTCAAATTTGTGAAAAATGACATTGGAATCTTGATGGGGATTACATTGAATCTATAGATAACTTTGGGTAGTATGGACATTTTAACAATATTAATTCTTCCAACCCATGGACAAGGGATATCTTTACATTTATTTGTGTCTTCTTCAATTTCTTTCATCAGTGTTTTATAGTTTTCAACATAGGGGTCTTTCACCTCCTTGGTTAAATTTATTCCTAAGTATTTTATTGTTTGTTGCTATTGTAAATGGGATAATTTTGTGCAGTTTTACTGGATGCCTCTATGTCAGGGTCTCTTACAAGGCTGAAATCAAGATGTCATCTGAGTAAAGTCATTTCAAGGCTTGGTAGGAGAGAGTCAGCTTTCAGGCTTATTCCTGTATCTATTGCAGGCTTCAGGTCCTTTCTGGCTGCTGTGTAGGTATTAATTCCTTGCTAGGTGGGCCTCCCTAAATGAACAAATGAGAGTGAAGGAAGGCAAGGAAGGTGGAAATCACAGTCTTTTTATAAGCTAATCCCAGAAGTGGCATCTTATTGTTTTTGGTATATTCCTTTTATTAGAAGTCCCTAGATCCAGCCCACATACCAGGGAAGCATGAGAATATCCAGAGGTGGAGATCATCGAGAGTCACCTATTATGATGCTATCATAATGCCTTACTGTAGTTAGGAGGTGAAAATTTTAAAAAGAAATGAAAAAAAGAAATAAAAATGACAAGTATTAAAGATAGGCAATGAAGGTTTGACATATGGCTAATGGGACTCTATGAAGAAGCAGATCAAAGCAAGGGATCACAACAAATACCAAAAACTATAAGAAAGCTTTCTTAAATTAATCAATGTAGGCATTGAGGATATATTGCTTCTAACCTAATTAAAGGTGAGGGAAGCATTCATTCTGTCCCTCCCGATGAAAACACACGGCATCACAGTCATTGCCAAATACCTATCACTTACACTATTATTTAGTGCTTTCATTTAACTTATTTTCTGAGATTTTATTTATTGTAGCGTTATATCCTGAATTTATTTTTTTAAAAGATTTTGTTTATTAATTTGACAGAGAGAGACAGCAAGAGAGGGAACACAAGCAGGGGGATTGTGAGAAGGGGAGGCAGGCTTCCCGCTGAGCAGGGAGCCTGATGCGGGGCTCAATCCCAGGACCTTGGGATCATGACCTGAGCCAAAGACAGATGCTTAACCGACTGAGCCACTCAGATGCTCCTGTATCCTGAATTTAGAATGCCAGCTATATTTTCTAATATACATTAAAGTAAGTAATTCATACTTTTTTTTTTAGGTATAGGTATTTTCTACATAAAACCAAATAGTATACTAGATGGGAAAGACTTACTTAGCACATAGTAAGTGTTCAATAAATGTTAGGTTATTTTGACAAAGCCTAGGAAGTGGTTATAAATGGGTATGTTCAGAACTACCCCTGAGAATGGAAAATCTAGGTCAGATTTAATGTCAACATAGTGAGTCAGCTAAGACATTCATGAAGTACAAAAGTTAGCATGACAATGGAAGGATCACTCTATGCATATGAGTTTTGTGGGCGTGATTGTATTTTCTTACATTCAATGGGAAGTAATCTCTTATCCCTTAGCTTGGACTTTGATATTGTTCAGTGAAGATGAATGCGGTATGCTGAAGTGGCATTATCAGCTGTCTTTAGCTTTGTGTCACTTTCCAATGTGCCAGATGAATGTATTATGTGCAACACTCACTCATAAATTATTTCAGTATTTTTCTATTTCAGGATAAGTTCTTAGTATGTATGGTACTGATAGGGATTAGGATGTACTGTTAATAGGTGCCAACATTTGTCACTTTCTCATCCAGTTAATAGGTGACTGTGTAATCATTTGTCAAACAGTATCCTTTGCTGAGATAACGTTTGCATCTCTAACAATTTTGCATAATTAGGTTATAAATACTTTTGTGAAATTAGGATGGTGAATAAAGTTTAAAGCTATATGAATATATACATATAATTCTTTCATGGAAAGTAGTCCTAAACAAAACAAAAGAAAGATAACTGGTTAGAAATATATAAGAAATGTGATCCTTGGGAGAAAATTCTCTCTTTCTAGAATTCCTAATAGTGAAAAGAATGAATGCTAGACCTACAAAATTCATGGATTTTAGACTTCAGAGAACAGGTAGTGTCAATAAAAAGTAACTTATTAGGATAAAAAATTTCTGGCCCCCAAACACAGAAGAAACTAACAGGGAGAAAGAGGCATTAAAAACTGAGGTCCATAGTTTTAGTGTAAGAGAAAACAGGAAAAAAAATTGTTTTTATTCCCTTCAGCAGCTGACACCTTTGCAAGTCCCTGATTATGGAAATTGCTGGGACTTTAGTGGTTGGCCAGGTTATAAAGTGAATAGTTTGAAAACATTCTAATTTAAGGTGTATGTATCTTTTTTTTTCCTTACTTCTTTTGGACTGTAGCTTCATTTTTATTCCTTTTTGAATTTTCTCTGTATGGAAATCCAGAGGAAATTAAGTCCTACACCATGTTCCAAAACTCTACAGCGAGGTTATTTATCTGTTCCCATTTCTCCATCTCTAGGTACCACAGTAGACATTCATATAGGAATGTTTGCAATGGCAAGATGTGAATTATATATGAAATTTAAAATGCCTCTGCACTGAGGGGAAATAGCTATTCTGGGTAATCACTGTTCTCGGGTACTAGGAAGCAGATCTACATCATGGAGCAATAAAGAGAGTGTTCTTTGGAAGTTGTCTGTGGAGCAGAGAAAGGTTCTCTTTACCTATGAGCATGGCCTACCCCCTCACTCATTATAGTCCACTAACATTGGACTTCATTTTCTTTTCTAATGTACAAAGATCTCCTCTCATATGTAAGGATCTTATATGAGGTTATTTGTTCTTCCTGAAAAGAACAAATCCCTATCTTAGTCAGTTTGGGCTGCATAACAAAATACTATAGACTGGTTGGCTTATAAACAACAGAAATTTATTTCTCATAGATCTGGAGGCTGGTAAGTCCAAGATCAAGGTGCTTCAGATTTGGTGTCTGATAAAGGCCAGCTTCCTGATTTATAGGCAGCTATGTTCTTGCTGTGTCCTCACATGGCAGAAAGGATGAGAGAGTTCTCTGGGGTTTCTTTTATAAGGGCACTAATCCCATTCATGAAGGCTCCACCCTCATGACCTAATCATCCCCCAGAGGCACCACCTCTTAATACCATCACATTGGGGTTAGGATTTCATCTGCATTGCGGATCCAAACATTATGTCCAAAGCAATCTTAATTTCCTCAAGGTACCTAGTTGTCATAAGGTCTTAATTTAAATGTTCCTTGAGTCTTATCCTAAAGCAGGTTAACCTCCCCTTTCCACATACTCATGCAACCCACATTTCTGTTTTAAATAATTTATTAAAATTGTAAATAAGTAATTCTTCATATAATTTTTGATTTCATGTATTTTGCCCCTGCATGGTTTTATTTATCACTAAACTATAAGAGGAGCTTAACAATTTTTTTTTTTGAATGAACACACAAATAATTAATTAAATGCCATTAACCAGCTCAGTGGCAGGCTGGAAACTTCTTCTTTGGCTGATGACCTGCTATAATAAATGGAAGCACAGTATAGGAGAAAAAGCAATCTATTTGGAGTCAGAACTTTTAGGTTCAAGTGCTGGCTCTATAAATTTTTAGCTGTGTGCTAGTTAAAAGACAGCCTAAGGGTTAGGTTCCTTCAACTTTAACATAAAAATACTTTACTCAGACACTTTCCTTTATTTAAAAACTATTTAAATATCCTAAAATATAGATAAGGGTTCTTCACAATGGAAAAAGTGGCATGTTATATAGTACAATATTGTCCATTCAGGCAGTGACCTGCACAGTTTGGCAAATGTTTCTTGATATCCCAAATGTCATTGACTAAAATAGAGGAGAAAATAATGAAATTTTGCTGTCTTAAAAATTTCATTAAAATGCTAAACAAAATGGTAACAGTAGTCACAAAACTTGCAAAGTTCAAGATTAGCTTGGCATTGCACTTAACAATTTCAGAAAGCATACTGCTAATATTTAGGTTTCTGAGCTTCTTTGTTTTGCTGGCTTGCTGTGCACAACGTCAGTGTTGAAGTCCAGAGGTTAAAATTAGGTTTTATCTGAGATAAAATGGTAAATTCAACCCATTGCAAGAAACAAGTTTTTAGTATTATTGTATGCATAATTATTTCTGAGATGGTTAAAAAGATAGTGAAAACATGCAACAGCCACTACTTTGAAAAGGATTTATTTATAATAAGTGATACAGAAATAGCCATGAGGTAGGTAGAGGCTCCTTTCTCATGCAAGATAATAAGTTCTCATGCTGACTTACTCACTACTTGGATTTTCATGTGCATAATATCCAAATTCACTATCACAGTTGGATAAGCAGAAGCTTAAAAGTTGGGACCAAGGATCAGGATGACATTATGAATTTAGTCTTGAACTTCTCCATCAACTCTAAATATAGAAAAGGAAGAAAATTTTTTAAAAACAAGAAAATAATTAAGGTATGGTACACTCAAAATAAGCAAAATATCTCCATTGGCCAGAAAGGGAATAAAAAAATCACAGTGGTAATTTAGTAATCAGGGACTAGAGCCAGGGCCTGTTGGACTCTGCGCCTGGATGCAGCTAGGATTTGCCTCCTGCCGAGTAATGGGATTCAGAGTTCAGTGTGCATGGCGGTAGACCAGAGTCAAGTTAATTGCATGAAACCTGGGGCAGGTACAGGGCTCCCGAGCCTATGAATATGGTCAATAGAAAGTTCTGGCTACTTCCTGGGGCTATAGTTTATCTAAACATGCATACCTGCAATGCTGAAGAATACAGACAAACCTTATCAACAGGATCTAAAATTAAGCCACTCTACATTTAGTGACTGATTTTGAGATAAGCTTACGTTCATAAGAGAACTAGAACTTCGAGCCATTAAAAAAAATGGTACTGGAACAGAGTTCCTTTGGGAACCAGATTTTATCTGTGAAAGAAAGCAGGATCTCTGTGGCAACTAGAAAACAGACTTTTCCACATTGGAGAAAGAGGGATGGAAGGAGGCTTGATCCAGAGAGTAAGGTCTTGTGCTTTTCCCCAAGTAGAGTCCAGAAAATTGATATGCCTTTACACAGTAAATAGCTATGAGGCCCATTGAGGGTCACACAGATGCCAGTTCTTAGATAAGCTGTAGATCTGTAGGTCCATCTGTAGATAGGCTACCATCTATATTATGGTCATAGCAGAGAAGATCTTTCAGACCCACAGAGGCCCACAGAAAGACAAAAGTGACCTTGAGATCAGTGATTGATGATCATTTGGATTGATGGACATCTCAAGGGTTATACCTCATGTTTTCTGCCTTTCCCTCACATACCTTGCCTTAGAACTAGATAAGCCTCTTAGACACAATCCAGTACAAAAGGAAAGTTCTAATTTGATTGATACTATTTTCTGCTGCTCTGATAAATGTGAGTTTAAACCTAGAAATTATGTTGTCTTGCCTACTAAGATTCATACCAATTTCCAATCCAAATAATTCAGCCAGGTAAAACATGGTGCTGTGTTACTAGAAGGTTAATGCAATGAACAGGAAAGCTGGACAAGCTAATCAGACAGTAGGGCCAGGGGTCCAGATACACCATTCAAATTCTCTGTCCTGGCTGGAGTTTGGCAACATTTATGGCTGCCTTAAACTTTGATGAGAGTGTCTCATCAAAGCACATTTAGCACATGGCAGAAATTCCAGTTATGTCCTTCTTGTGGGATCCCTTCTTGTCTCAGGGAACCACATTTTGCATCTCATTTCCCTAAAAAGCAGACATTTCCTTCAGGTTACCCCTTCTCCCACCATCTTTCCTGAGGTGGTAGAAGGAGCATAATCAATGTATATACAAATGTTGTGTTATGGTAGAAAATTTTATTCAATATAAAAGCAACACTTTCTCCTTGAAAGCTGCAGATTGAGTATAACTGAGACCTTCCCCTTTTATATCCTTTTATCACCCTAGTTATAAACAAAAGGTGCCCAGTATAATCCTAAAAGGGCCAAAGATTTCCTAGAGTGGCTTTCCTAAGTACTTTTAGTAAAAAAGAGACACTGACTATTTTGCCATTAGACTTGACATGGCTTTCCCCTCTACCCTTTCACCCTAAATCCGGAATCACTTCAGCCCATGTCCAACCTTGCATAGAAGAAAAGTGAAATCAGCCTCCTGAGGAGCCATGCAGATACTGACAATTGCAATTTAATAAACCAACAAACAAGATGAGGACTAAAAAAGTTCATTGTTAGATTTTTAAAATCTTGGGTCATCTTAAATTTCCATTTTTATGAGATGATGCTCAAATAATTCACTGGAAACATAGATTGTTAAAATATGCCAGAAGCTGAACTTATAAGGAAAAGAATTACCTTGTGTTTCGTGTGTGTGTGCGTGCGCACGCACGCTGTTAAGTTACCAGGGAAAAACAGACTTCTTTATTTTAAACCCTCATATTTTTAAACCCCTATATTCTGGCAAAGAAAAGACAGTAATATATATTTCTACAGCTTGAGCATGTGTGTTTTTATAGGAAAGGGGAAGAAAATATTTTGTGCTCCAGACAAAGAAAGGATTTAAGCACAATTGGAGAGAAAAGTGAAGGATGAAGGCTGGTGCTTAGAGCTGGGGCTATGGCAAAAGTTCTCGATTCCCAAGATTGCCACGTAGGGAGCTGGCTATCAGGTGTTTGAACGCTTCATGTGAGCCTGGGCCTGTCAGGAGGAAGCATGACTGACAGAAAACCAGAAGTCTACCTCCAAATATAATGTAAAGCCAATTGCTTGGACAATCCTGGAAAGGGAGAGGTGTTCACTAAGAATGACTAGTAGGGAGGGCCTGTCAACTTTGGCAAGCAGGGACACAGAGCTAGATTTGGAAAAATAGATTTAGAAAAATAAAGGAACATAAATATTTGTGCACATTCATACTGAAGATAAAGAGAAAATAAATTATCAAATAAGTGTTTATGAATGTTTACTGACAAATTATACTTTTCCCCAAAGCAGATTTTATAGCTATAATTTTCATTTCTACAAAATGCTGATTTCTCATTTCCTTGGAAAAAAGTGGGGCTTTTCTTTAAGCTTAACATATTATCTCAGACCTACTCTCCTTCAGTTTCACTTACTTATATTTCTGTAATGATGTTTCTATAAGCACTTTGAAATCCTCATCTTTTTAAAAATTTCTAAGGTCTTAAAATTGAATAATAAATCCTCAAGGGTAACTGTATGTTCACAGTGCCTACTGTGCTAAAATCTTTGAGTGTGAATGTTTATTTACACATGGATACCATGACCTGAAACTGTAAACTGCCATTTTTGTCACATACTAAATTTTCATATCTACATTATTCTATTTATTGATTGATTTTATCACAGTAACCTTAGTCTATTTCTGAACCAACATAACATGGTTTTAAGTTTGAGGCAATCATCTAGTTCATGTAGTATCAAAAAGCACATCCTTCTTTAGTATTTTTTTAAATAGTATTTTAGTATTTTTTAAATAGATGTTTGAGGTTGTTGGCCTTTCCATGTTAAATTTGAATTATTTTTTTTATGTTTTAGAGAGGGAGGGAGAGAGAGAGAAAGAAAAAGAGAGGAAGTTGGGGAGGCAGAGGGAGAGGGAAAGAGAGAATCTTTTTTTTTTTAATTTTTATTTATTTATTGAGAGAGAGAGAATGGTAGAGAGCATGAGAGAGAGGAAGGTCAGAGGGAGAAGCAGACTCCCTGCTGAGCAGGGAGCCCGATGCGGGACTCGATCCCGGGACTCCAGGATCATGACCTGAGCCGAAGGCAGTCGCTTAACCAACTGAGCCACCCAGGCGCCCAAGAGAGAATCTTAAGCAGGCTCCACACCCAGCGTAGAGCCCAACACAGGGCTTGATCTCACAGCCCTGAGATGATGACCTGAGGTGAAATCAAAAGCAGACACTTAACCAACTGAGCCACCCAGACGCCCCTTAAATTTTAATTATTTTAACCTATTTCTTTAAAAAATTAAGTCCTGTTCAGAGTTGGATTTATTTATATTTATATATTTGCCTATATTTGTATTTACATTTAGAGGATTGTTGGATCTTAAAGGGCCTTATAAAAACCTGAAGGAGTTTGGATTTTTTTCTTTTTTCTTTTTTTAATTTTATTATGTTATGTTAATCACCATACATCACATCATTAGTTCTTGATGGAGTGTTCCACGATTCATTGTTTGCGTATAACACCCAGGGCTCCACGCAGAACGTGCCCTCCTTAATACCCATCACCGGGCTGACCCGTCCCCCCACCTCCCTCTCCTCTAGAACCATGAGAGACTATGGACTCTGAGAAACAAACTGAGGGTTCTAGAGTGGATTTTTTTCTTGAGGTCAGTGAGTTTAAGTGCATTTCTTGAGACCCCAAGTGAAAAAGTTCAGAGAAACAGCGAAAAAAAAATTGACAGAGAGACGATTTTGCTTACAGAGTGAGGGGTGATTAGAATAAAGGGAACAAGATCTGAGACAGGAATCTCAGTAAAGCAGCTGCTACAATGCTCAGGTGAAATAGGAAGGAAATGAAAAGGCCTAAAGGAGGGATACAAGGGTAAGGAAAGACAAGTGGACATATTTAAAAGATAGTAGACTTGAGTGTTGGGCAAGGAATGAGTGAAGCATAAATCTCTTGACTTGCGCGTCATGTCCAGTGACCAAAATGTAATGCAATATCTATACTCCATGGGATACAGTAGCCACATGGCAGGGAGTAATATGTAAATGTGTTTATGACAGAATACTACATTCAAAAGTCAGGAAGCAAAATGTCATGAAATAAGTATAGGTATGTAAACAAAACAATACAAAGGAGAAAAAAATAAATATATCAGAAGCTGCCATAAACAAAAGAAAAATGTTTAATTATACATCCAGTCACTTGTTTTACAGAAAACAATAAAATGACATTAAATTAGAAGGTTTTTTGGTTTTTTTTTTTTACTATTGTTCATAGTAAGTATTTTTTAAAAGATAGCATTCTTGAGTGTTTATTGTGTGGCTGGCACTGTGTAGAGCAACTGCCAGGGTTATTTCATTTTCTCCTTACAGGCTTCCTTTCATAAGAATGCTATGCATTTCCTCTTTTTTATTTATTTTCTTAGGAGTTGAGGAAGCTGCTGCTTATAGATATAAATTACTTGCTGAAAGTCACTGATACACTAACAAGTGACAGAGTCAGAACTGATGTGCAGTTAACATTGAATAACTTTTCTAAGTTGTTTTTTTTCTTTAGCCTTCACTGTACTGGGTACATATTCAGCACTAATTACTGTCAATTAATACATATCATTTTTTGGTGCCTCAGAGAAGAGACAGCAATTACAGAAAATGGAAGAAGATTTTTTTTAAATACACAAAAACAAAATACAACATTATTTACAAACATACAAAGCAAAACAGAACATATTGATAAGGCCATGCACTTTAAAGAACCTCTAGCTACTATCATTCGTGAAAAGCATCTGGCAGCCAGGAAAGGCTCAAGGAAAATTTCATGGTTGCATATATTAAAATCTATGAGCCAGCACTGGTATTCATGTTCTAACTACCTCTATTGATATTGTCCATTTTGGTCATAAGAATTTTCACTACAAATGGGAATGTCTTCACCTTCAGCCACAAACTTACCATTACCATTCCTCTTCTCTTTGGAGTTATTTGGGTCATGTGGAGAGTGTAAAGTAGAAGTAATCACATTTCCTTTCATTCATAATTTTTTTTTTGTATAATTCTGAGCTGGTCTCCACAGGATGTTTTTCAGTATAAGTAAGCCTCCAAAATCCATTCTAATATTATACTCAGTGACCTTCTTTTTCTGTTTCCAATACATGGATACAATGAATTTCCAACAACCAAGTTATTCAGAGAAGCAAATAATGTTAAATACAGCAAAGGGCATGATGATCAGGCTGAGAAGTTAAGGCAATCATCCAGTTCATGCAAATTTACATGGAGCCAGGCCCTGTCGTCTGCCTTTCAATTAGACTGAGGTGAAAGTTGCAGTTGTGCTGGGTGCTGTGAGCATAATCAGCATTGTGTTTTCTGTGGTAGTCCAGGCCCCATGAACAGTGCCAGTATCATTTAAGATAAACCTGCTAGTCAGTTCATTTGTGTTAAAAATAGTTAACTAAAGAAGAGCGGTTTCTCTTCTCTCTTTGACATGCAGTCAAGTACCTTCTAATACAGGGTTATGGGTTTTTGGAAGTGACACTGGTAAGAAAAAAGTGCTTCACAGTGAGAACCCATTCAATTGGGTTCAGCAAGTGGGAGAAAACAAGGGGGGTTATAACAATAGAGAGGGAGCCAGGCATTTGGACACCATAGAATTACCCTATATTTAAATTCCAGCTCTGCCTTTTATTAGTTGAATAAACAACTTTTAAACCTATTTAAGACCAAATTTCCCCATCAGAAAATGGGGTTAAAAACACCTACCTCATTGGTTATGTGGAGAACATGCCAACACAGTATCTGCGCATAGTACCAGCAGACACTGGCTTCCATCTTTTCTTTGTCCTCGTTCTTCTATCATTACTCTTCTCCCACTAATTAGTTATATTCTGAGAGAAAGAAAAGCTACATTCAAATGATATGAAGGTACCATGTGCATTGCTAACTCTTTCTCTTGCTCTATGGGCTGGCTCGCTTCTAGTTCTTTTCTTTCCCTGTGAACTCTGCTCATTTCCCCCACCTCCAACTCCTCAGTCATTTACTACCCATGACATTTTTCAAAAAGAAACAATTATCTCCTGACAATCTACTTGTCCTGGTCCGATTCTCCATTAATCATTTTTTTCTGATAAATTAATTAGTGCCCCAGTATAATGAACAGTTTACATTTTGATCATGGCCTTTAAATAATTTCCTAACTCAAAAACTCTGGGGAATACTGTCCTCCTTGTTGTCAACTTCTGTGACCAGGAAGGCTTGAAAGCCCATGGAACCTGCTTGTAAAATCCCAAGTTTGGTTCTAAACTGGGAAACTCCTGGGGCACCTGGGTGGCTCAGTCGTTAAGCGTCTGCCTTCGGCTCAGGTCATGGTCCCAGGGTCCTGGGACCGAGCCCTGCATCGGGCTCCCTGCTCCACGGGAAGCCTGCTTCTCCCTCTCCCACTCTCCCTGCTTGTGTTCCCTCTCTCTCTGTCAAATAAATAAATAAAATCTTTAAACTGGGAAACTCCAAGCCTGAGAGGAAGGAAAGAGAAGAGCTAATGGTATCTTTTCATGGCTAACATTGAGGGTGCAACATGAATTGGGGAAAGATCTGGAATAGCCATTAAGAGTTGGAAGTTATAGTCTTCATTCTGCTCATATTTCACTGTGTAACCTGGGCAAGAGTTTTCCTCAAAGGAAAAATGTACACTTGGATTCAAGGATTTCTAAAAAAATAATTTATATTTTTATGATTCCACAAATAATGTTGTCAGGAATTAATATTACTTTATATAAAACATAATTATAGTTCTTGTCACTGTTTTAAACACTTTATAAATATGAACTCATTTAATCTTTTTTTTTTAAAGACTTTATTTATTTGACAGAGGGAGAGAGAGAGACAGCAAGAGAGGGAACACAAGCAGGGGGAGTGGGAGAGGGAGAAGCAGGCTTCCCGTGGAGCAGGGAGCCCAATGTGGGGCTCGATCCCAGGACCCTGGGATCATGACCTGAGCTGAAGGCAGACGCTTAATGACTGAGCCACCCAGGTGCCCCTCATTTAGTCTTCTTAATGGCTCTATAAATGAGGCATGATAATTATCTTCATATAGATTAGGAAACCAAGACTCAGAGAAGTGTAGTGACTTGACCTAAGTCACATAGTATCTATGAGGTAGAACCAGAATTTGAAAACATTAGCTTGACTCCAGCATTTCTATTCTTAACCACTATACTTGGCTCCACTTAAAAATGAGATATTTTTATATCTCTTTATACATTTTTAGATGTGCTTCCCAATCACTTTGCTGTGCTACATTGAAAAGGAACATATTTTGAATCAGTTCTGTCACCTGTTTACTATGTCCATGCCTGGAGCTGTTGCTGAGCTTAGGTAATCATCAGCTTTGAAGAGGAACATCCACGATTCTTCTGCTGTTCTGGTCATTCCATATGGCTGAGCTAATTTTTCTTTTCCAAAAAGTGGGAGGAAGTATAACCTTTTAAAATAATTAGTCTGTCTTTTCTAAGATCACAAAGGTCAATTTACAGGCTGATAGGTTAAATGCTTTTTTCACCACAATTTTAGAGAATAAAGAATGTTTTTAATGTCTCTGAAATGACTTTAATAGCTGATGATTTTCCTTCAAAGAAGCTCTTTTCTAGTTTGCTATCATGAAAACCTGCTGGTTGACGTTTATCTCTTGGGAGGACACTGCCCCATATGTCACCAAGAACCAAGATTGCCCTGTCATACACATGTAGTAGCTGTCCATCAATTTATTTTTAATGCGACCCTTGAAGCCCTGTACAGAATCAAAAGCATTCTCTTGCTCTACCCCTCAAAATCTTTTAAAGTATGACTATGAAAGAGAAAGGGGAGCATAGTATCATGCAAGGATTTTTTTTGCTCAATATTGGTTCTTCAAGAAGCTGACTCAGTTTTCTGATATTTAGATTGGGAATGATGATCATGAACTCAAAGAGTTTCTCTGAGAATTAGAAGAGATTATATATGTAAGTTGCTTGGTGCAGTATCTGAAACATTGTACAGTTGTTCAATAAATATTTTTTCTTTCTACTTCCATTTGAGGCCAACCAAGATTTGCATATATTCTTTAGAATAATGGAATCCCATGATTGGCCCAAGCTCTGCATTTACACTTTAGCTACATTTTTTTTTCCATTCATGTAGCACTAGATTTCTTTATTATCAAGCCAAATTTTATTGATCACTTCTAAAGTCATCACTGTGCTATGTACTAAAGAGAATATTAAAATCGTGCAATCCATGTAATGTACACCTACCCTAAATGAGCCAAGAATCCTCTTGAAAGACAAGGCTACTACCTTGTCTTCATTCCCCACCCTCCACTTACATACACACACACCATAAATATAAGAGCACCAAATAGGATTATAAAATAATTTAGGGGCAAGATCTGCATAATCAGATCACATGAAGTAGTTGATCTTGATTATAATAACTGGCAGAGTTTTCATAAAGAAAGTAGATTATAGCTTGAGGCTTAAATGTTGCATTTGGGTAGACAAAGAGGAACAAGAATTTTTAGATTGGAGAAAGATCAGGCGCTATAAATATGGAAACAAAAGTATGCAGGATATTATATGACCAAGAGACTAAACAGAATGAAAGGAACAAATATGTGTGACTGAGAGGAATAGGGTCCAATGTATTGGAATGATTAAACCCTGGAAGAAGATCAACTGGGAGAGGGTGGATCCCTTAGCTAATGCATTCTATGATTTTTCAGCCATTAGACCCTGAATCTAGACTCAAGTACACAGGATTAATTTGGCAAATCACAAAAGATGACCTTATTAATAGGATTCCCTTTGAGTCTCTCCTGAATTTGAGAGTCAGCACACTCTTACACACTCTTACTCTACTTGGTCATCCACACCATCTCCATTTACAACACCATAGGGCACAACGCTACCAACATTGCTCTGGGCAAGTTGTTGGAAGTAGAATTGAGTTCAGCCGCGTATAAGAAAGTGGAGTGACCTGGGGCATGGCTTTGCTTGTGTTCTCCAAGGTTGAGGAGGACCACGCTGTACAACATAAGTCTTATAATAATGATACATGATTTTTTTCACTGGAGCAGGGAAGTGATGCCTGGGGTTTCCTGTAACTACAGTCCTGTGGGGGCTGTATTAGTTTCTTAGGGTTTCCATAACAAAGTACTACAACCAGGTGGCTTAAAACAATAGTAATTTCTTGTCTCACTGTTCTGGAGGTTACAAATCTGAAATTAAGGTATTGACAGGGTCATATTCTGAGTTCTGTAGGGGAGAATCCTTCCTTACACTTTCTAACTTCTGATATTTGCCAGCAGTCCTTGGTTTTCCTTGGCTTGTAGATGCACCATTTTAATCTCTACCTCCATCATCACATGACTGTCTTCTTCCTGCATATACCTGTCTCTGAGTCTTTCCTCCTCTTATAAAAACACCACTCATTTTAGATTGAGGGTTCACTTATGACTTCATAACTTGATTATATCTGCAAAGACCCTATTTTCAAAAAAAAAAAAAAGTCACATTCACCTGTACCAGGGGTTAAGACTTCAGTGTAGCTTTTCAGGGTGGGGGAGATGGGCACAATCTAACTCATAACAGACACCATTACCTGACAGACAGGAATGAGCCCTTCATAGATCAATAGAAACACAGCATGCTTCACCTAAAGCTGAGGCATCCTGAAAGTGTCTCTGTGTTGCTTAAAAATTTCTGAGCCTCAATCCTATGCTTTCACATTATTTTTTACTTTTGAAGATTGAGTTTTAATTATGAAGTATATTACAAGAATAAAGAATGTACATGTTTATATGCAGATTTGAATTTTTGCAACAAGTTCAGATTTGCCATCACATTTATTGTCACAGCAGAACTATAAATCACAAATTATTGTTGAGTTTAAATAGAACTTCCACATGAGAATATGACATATTGAAAAATAAAAAATCTTAGCAGATCTGCACATTATTGCCTCATCATCTTGATTATTGACCTTGAAGAGTATCATCAAGTTTCTTAACACTGACTGACTGGCTCACCTGGCAATCAGCTCGCCACTGGTTCCTCCCCATGGGTGAGCTTCCCCTTTCAC